ACACTAACTTTTTCATTACAACCAATACCTTACATAAAAATTAGTTGAACCAAGTTATTTGGTCAATCGAACCACGAAATAATGGAGTTAATGTAACGATGAACTAGATTATCGACCTGCTGGATACAAGAAGTCTTTTCAGAGGATCTTCGGAAGAGGTCAAAACAGAGAACACTTAAGGTTTTAAAGCCCTGAAGATGACAATATAAAACTGTCGAAAGCTCGGCGAAAACCGTAAGGAAGTTTTCTCTGTTTTGACCTCTTCCGAAGATCCTCTGAAAATACTTAATGGAGTTAATGATAAAAACGACAACGACGGAACTGATTTCGATTAATTTTGTTGGTATTACCGGCGGGTTTAGAAGATATAAAATGGGCATATAAATAATGAGAGTCAGGATTTATGAAAAAAAGATATTGCAGGAATTTGCGGCGTCCATTTTCACAGTTGTCAGCTGTTCAGCCGGATCCCGGTATGATACAAGTTTCCCGCGTCTTTCAAATTTCAAATCAAATACAAATGATCAACGAAGCATTCAATAGCCCAAATTATGTATTTGATTGCAACGCCTAAAGATATATAAAGCTAAATAGCCATAAATGACAATAATTATTGTGGCAGACTATATCAACCTATTTCCTTATTGGTTATTGTCTTTTTAGGACACAAGATTAAAATGGTTTGTAGAAAACGAAACAAAATACTTAAACCCGAAAGAATCCGTATTTTGTGGGGTGGATTGATTTTATAGAAAACCACCATCACCATGTCAGTTAAAATTTATTTATTTATGGGACATTTCGAAGTTTATCTCATTATATTTATATCTCATCATCAATACGAATTCCATATACGAAAGTAAATGTAGTACAGTAAACTGTGGTATTTGTACAAATGTGTTGTTAACGCCTGAATTTAAATTGTATGTTTTTTCTTAAGTTAGATGTTCCAGGAAGTAATCTTTTGTTTAAGTTGTTTTGTACTGTGAATCCGATAGTTTCACAATATTAGTTCAACGCTATTATTACGTTATTACTATTATTCGTCCGCCACACTATAATCAGTTGTGTTCGACGTCTGGGTACACAGCGACCGCACGCTTGACATCTTCCCGCACTGGAGCATAAATGGACCCATCATCAGTCTTTCCTGCCCTACCGCAACACTACATCGCATCTATACATCAATAGTACTCACAAGTGAACTTTTAGTTTAATTTAAATATATTCTTTGTACCTCCAATCTTAGTTTTTCTTTGTTTTCTTAATTCGTTGAAGAGCTCTTTCATTGTTTCCTTAATTTTTTAATTTGAACTAATACTATAATTTTATTTATTGGTTGTACTACTAAAATAAGAAACTAACTCTGTTTACTTTTGCCGAAACTTATCATTCTTTTTTATAACACACTTTTTATTTATATGAGATAATAATTTATTTTGGAAGTTTTTCGCTATTGACGTTATTTTAGGATTATTTTAATATATACAGAAAGTCTAGATCCAATTACGTGAGTGATTTGAGTGGCGAAGTGTCGTAAAATAGATCTGGTCACACATTTGAGATAAATATTGCTTCCCACAAACGGCAGAGGTCGCTGAATTGCCCAACATATGTTGTAAACTGGTTTAACTCCTCGACTGCGACCCCCCCCCCCCACGGTGGGTATTTGGACATTAAGCCCTCCAGTATGACAGAAATTAGTTTAGCTTTTTACAATAATCTTTTAATTAATTAAGGTTTTTAGTTGAGATAAAAAAGTCAGTGTCACGAGCGGGATTCGAACCCACGGTGTTCGGCTAGTTCGGCTACTTCGATCCTCTCGGACACTAACTTCCCATCTCAACCCCATTTAAATTTTCCCTCCTTTTTGCCATTTTTTAAAAGGTGGGGTTGAGATGGGAAGTTAGTGTCCGAGTGGATCAAGGTCACGATAGTTCAAGTGGTAGAGCAGCGGCGTGTCAAACCGAACATCGTGGGTTCGAATCCCGGTCGTGACACTAACTTTTTTATCTCAACTAAAAACCTTAATTAATTGAAAGATATGAATTAGTCAAGCGGACCACGAAACCAGTGAATTTTTTAAATAATGTTGATAATGGACTAATGCAGGGCGACAAGGAAAAACATTGCGTATGTTTATTGGTGGGAGGATAATAGAAAAGAATCTTGTGCAATGCCAGAACTTTAAAACTCAGATAAATTAGTAGTGTAAATAAAAATAAACCTAAATAATGATAAATCGACATTAAGATGATAAAGAAAACTTGAAAAAGAAAACATATGCCAATATACCAGTAACAATTAACTTTAAATAAATGAACAAGTGAATTGTTATCCAGTATGAAATATATGAAACGACTTAGTTTAATTTAACTGAGAAAAAAAGAGACTTTTGAAACGATTCTCGTACAAGTCTGGTGGTACCAGGAGAAGTTGCGGACACTTTATGAGCTGGGATGATGACAATGATACCACTGCTATGTGGGTGAATTGATGGTTCATTGTAAACAAAACCCAGTTTCATTTAAAACGCAGAGTCGTTGCAATAATTTTCAAATAGAATATTTCAACTTCAACTAATAATTTTTACTATAGTAACTCGCAAGATCGGATTAGTTAAGTAAAAATCACTTAAAGGGAATTAAAATTGCAAATGTATCCCGTACGTGGACCGTACCTAATTTTTGTACGTAATTCAACTTAGTTTCAACATTTTATCTTACAATCCACATTTTATAAATGAACACATTTGAAAATATTTGACCGAATTTTATTTCGGTCGAAAAAGTCCACAAGACGCGAAAACGTAGAACGAAATAGCTCCAATTTCCTTTAATAAACTAAAGGCTTATTTATCTCCGGTCAAAGTAAAAATTCAAAGCAAAAAAGAACGATTAATGTAAATAAAAGCTCAAGATAAATCTCTTTTCAGGACGTATTTTTGTAAAGCCGGTTGCCTGTAATGTCTCCTGAGGGAATTGCAAATGTACAACAAAAAACCCAGAGTTTGGTCAATAAATTTTTTCCCATCCATAATTAACACGTTGATTGCATAATTGAACAAATATTCAACCGTATAATTTAAACTATACTACCATTTTTTGTACTAATAAAACTGCAAATTTATAAAATTTTAAGTAATATACAATGGGAGTTGCCAAATTAGATCAATACGTCAGATGTTCATATTTATTTCTTGTAGTGCGAATCAAATTTATTATTAAAAAAAAGCAAAGAATAATGGGTTATGGGTGTAAAAATGAGTAATAAGAGGAAGAACACTCTGTAAAAATTTCATACAATACATTTTATCAAAGCCCAACATTGGCAACAGCAGACCACATTAATTGTCCAATAACAATCCCGGGGGAACAAATTTTTTCTATAAAACCGGCAAAACGTAATTATCAACTGTCTTTGGTGTAAAAATGAATTGCTCCTCTCCGAAAAGTATGATACATTTCTTCATTCTGATCCGGCTGGCGCAAAATAAGATTCACAAGAAGATAAAACGTTGTCTGGATTAAGCACATCTTGTTTGGCTTTGTTCTTACTAAAAAACCTGGTACTGAAAATTAACAGATTTAGACAAAAAAATTCATTTTACCCTGTCTCAGAAAAAAAACGTGCTATTTTGATTGTAATTTTTATTTTGTTATTTTTCTTGCCAGTACTGTTTTGCATTTTAAAAACTTATTCAAATATAGATTCAAAATTAAATATTTTAATCTTGACTTGAACATTAATATACTCAAAGACAAAAAAACCGGTCCCTTTATTTGTTTATTACATTATTACATAATAACTAAATAAAAATAAATATAAATGACTTAAAACGCAAACACGACATTAATAACTTATTTTTTACCTTTATAGAGGGTTATTAATCATTGTACTCATAATTACTAATCTTTCCTTTTTTTACAATAAAAATAAAGAAAATCTGTACAAATTCATCCTTCACCTCTAGCAAAAGTAATGATTGTTTTATTGCTGAAACAATAAATTTGAGTAAAAATTAATTCTTTTTTTTTCTTAAAAGCGTGGTTTTATGTCGAGGAGATCTCGGCCGAGCAGATGTTCTGACCAACGACGGATTTTGCGTCCGTTAGTCAAAGGCATAGGTCCAAGATGTGCCGAGCTTTACCATCCGGATGGTATCCAGCGGTTCAGGGCAACCGAAAGTCTCGATAGAAAAGAAGATGTCCGTCGGCTAGAGACGATCGTTTTATTGCTTTTACCGCGCTTCGGTACCTTCATTTAACGGTTTGCTAGGTAGTCAACTCCAAATGGTGCGTAATATAAGGACGAGCTCTACAGTAATCAGAAAACTTCGTGAGAATAGCTTAGTCATTCTAAGTCCCGCGTCATGTTCTCTACTATTGAAGAGGCTTCGAGGAGAAAGGAAGTATTCGCAAATCAACTACTTGCTTGGTCCCTTTAACAATTGAATCGGTAAGTGTAACAAGGTTAAGATTCCAAAATTGCCTGAAATGAGTGACGCCATTTTGTAGTCGTATCTAAGCACTATCGATTGAGTCGCAAACGGTTAAGATTACAGCGTTACTTATTCATATCTACCAGCACAAGAGCGTGTCCAGCACGTAGCATGGCAGACACAAAACATAATAGGAACGTTCATACTTAGCGAACGTTTGCGGAGCGTGTCAGTGCAGACACGTACCAGCACCGGGCAGCATTTTCGTCGAGAATGTCTTACTTGTGCTGGCACGTGTCTGCGGTTGTCTTTTCTTGTCTGTGCGGTTCAATACGGTTAGTATGAATAGACGACAGACAAGTTTTGTGCAATTCCAATAGCTTAGGTGCCACCTATAATAAATTGCAATATCATTTTAATCCAGTCTTTTGTCAAGTCTTGGTAAACCGACCTTGCGCTAATCCGAATTCGGGCTAAAATCCGAATCGCCGATCAGTACATGTTCAAAATTTTTTTTTAAATAAAGAATATTATATATTATATGTGATGAAATGTACGTAATTTATAATACACGGACGTGGAAAGAATCCTGTCCATTGGTTTTCTGAAGAATAGTTTGTTGGTCTGTAGGTGTCTGTTGCTGTGATTATCGCATAGTATGAATACTAGTGTCTGTGCCGTGTCTGCCACGCTACGTGCTGGACACGCTCTCGTGCTGATAGATATGAATCGACCTTATGATTCCCACAGTTTTTTACCTTGCGATAGGAACTTTTCAGTGATCAAACGTGTTGTTAGAAGATAGGATAGAATTTACTCCTTCGGTCAACACGAAGAGATAATCTACAGTCATGAAACTCCCCATTTTGAGGTAAGAACCGTTGATACTGATATGATTTTGTATGTCAAGGGTTGGTGGCCTCAGTAATACAAAAAAAAGACAGACATTGAGAACAAAAGAATCAAGTTCAATATAAGCAAGTACAGATATCTCCTGTGTTCGAATAGTGTGCCTAGTTGTATTAAAGGCTGCAAATTCATTGATGGATTAATTCCAGTTACTTTCAAATTGGCTAAAACTGCTTCACTGAAAGCTTATCAGGGAAAAATACCAATCGACTACAAGAAAATACAAGACATCAAGGAGGTGGTGAACTGTGTGCCTGAAGATTTTAAACCGTTCTACCAAGGGATTTTTCACTACCAACCAGGATTGTGAGAGCGACAACAACAATAATTAAAATGACTTTTTGCATTTTTTAAGAAAGGTATTCCTTAAAACATTTTTTATTACATGAATATTTTGCTTTTTTCTCAATTAGTGTAAGAAAGATGTTCCAACACATGTTATTTTAATATAGCTATAGATACACTAGACTTTTTTTTTCAACAACTCACATAATTTCCTTCAAGATTTAGAATGAACGTAAAATAAAAATATTTTGTCTAAAACTATTTTTCAGGAAGAAAATAAGTTTTCTTTGTTTTTCTCAAAACTGGAAAATTGTATTCTTAACCTTGTTAGACTCACCGATTCAACTGGGGGCTGTTCTCTTCATAGAAAAGCAGCATGCCACAAAAGTGGATACATCTTAAAATGGATCCTTAATGAGTGTAATACCTGGTGTTTCAATACCACAGGTATGAGGCACGCCAAGAGATACATAAAAGGACCATCGGTAGAACTTACAAAAGATTTACTGGAAGGCAACCTTAACCGAACCAGGATTCTGGTTGCTCTTGACGGGGCATTGCTTTCCCGTATCCCCAAAGACAATGAGGATATTTAACGTCCGCACCTAGCCTATTCGGCCTTAACAGACGTTTGATTCTCAAGATGAGAGCTGACGCACTGCCGCAGCGTTGGTGTAGAGGCAGCTCAGCCCCGAGGGGCCACGACAAGGCCTCGCTCCCCGATTGACCATCCCGAGTGGTCGGGTCCGCATTAAGCATCAGACCGTATGCCGCGCGCAAAGGGCTACCTAAGCTGAAATACATCAGCCTGGTATACTCCCCAGGTAGAGAAGGCCACTCTACCTCCAGAGTAGTGGGGCTTCCCTAGCGTAGAAACTACTAGATCCGTTCCGGCCGCGGTTTTGTTTAAAGTGGAATTGCTAAGGAGACCGCCTACGGTAAAATCCTCCAATCGAGCTCAGCCTACACCTACGTGCAAAGCATACTGGAGTAGAAGCAACCGATTCTCTACCTGATTCCATCCGCCACTCATTCGAGGAACTTTCCAGAATAATCATAGCGTCCTCAACGCTGCCGTCCGATCCGCCGTATCCCGTGAGGCCGGGTGTATAACGGTGGTCATAAGCAAGTTTTGAGCGAAGGTCACAGATAGAAGACAGCCTCTTCTCTAAGTTCCCGCCAGGGGTCTCACAACGGCCAACTACGAGTCCATTCCCAGTGTAACAGAGGCTGAACCTTGTAACATTTCTGTTACCCCGTAGTACGAAACTTGGGCGGTGAACCGCGGGAAGGTAACACGTTCAATATAGCCACGTGCTAACCGGCGTTTTAAAAATCACGTCTTTTACTCGATTCAACCGAAGTTTTCCACTCTGATGAGTGGAAAACAAGAGTCTAACCCTGTGAAGGAGTTAGAGAAGGAGAGGAGGCGGAATAAGGACGAGATGGAGCAGACAACGACGAAGAAGAAGAAGACTGCTGAAATAGTGGAGAGTACTCNAGGACATAACCAAAACACTCCCCAGGATAAAATGGTCCACAATCCTGGGGTTTGTGAATAGGTCCAATAGGTTTATACAGGACTCGTGAGCCGACCAGGTCCCGGACCTTCTAGGGATGGGGTACGGGCCTACTCAGGCTTTTAACCCCTCGGGTCCTGGTCGCCCGCCCTGTGTAATATATATACCCCGTAGTACAGATGGTTATGCACCTTCCCCCGTGTATACAGACAGGATCTGGTGCCCTAACCCTCGTGTGCCTCTGATAAGGCACCCGCCGCCCCATGCCGACCCGAGGCCGACACGAGTACAGCTTGTGCTTTAGAGAGGTTGCCACGCCCTCAGGGCTACACCATTATTTTGCGCCCGGACACCCCCCTTGTAGACAAGGGTTACGAGGGGTCACAGGAAACAATGAAGGAACCTGAAGTGAGAGAGGGACGTGGATGAGAACACGAGGTACACCTTTCTTGGGCCCCGAGCCTTAACCACATTGTACCACCCGTCGTCGTCGTAGTTCCACATTAAGTCCCTGGGTGGATGAACTTAACCTCCAGAACCACCCCTAACCATCCTGACTGGGCACCTCCACGTAAGAAAGTACATGCATTGGATAGGAGTGCAGACAGAAGAAACACAGATGCAGATACTGCCAGGAAGAGGAGAAGACCGCAGAACACATTTTATGTTTCTGTGAAGGTCTATGTAGGTGCAGGTTCTTGCAACTAGGTCAAGAAAAACCACAAGTAAGATCCTACACCAAGGATCGCTTGCAAAGCTGTGGAGACTGGTAAATAGCCTGAAGCTGGCCAGTGAGTTATAAATAACAGGGGAGCACAATAGATCTATTGAGGTCGAGGTGCAGTAGGCCTTGTGGCCGCCTCTCTTATCCCTATCCCTATCCCTATCCCTTCATAGAAAAGTAGTTTATGATTATGGTAGGAGGGAGAAGACAAGGAGAACGCTTTGCTTCATGGGTGATGTGTGTCGCAGCCTTTTCACGTACAGTGCCAAGGGTCGAATACCGAACTGCTTATCGTTCAAAACGACTCTTTCCACTACTAGAAAGTTCTTCTGAAAACTGTAGTCCCATTGGCTTCATTTTTTGGAGGCAACTTCATGTTAATGCACGATGATGCTCGACCGCACGTAGCTCGAGTTGTCACCCACTATTTGAAGAATGTATGAACTACCAATGAATCGGCCAGCACGTTCACCTGACATAAATCCCATAGAGCTCTTATGGGACATGATAAAGAGCATCGTTCGTCACATCCAACAAGCGTTGAACAGCTTCAAACCGCTTTTGTTGAAAAATGCGAGTTTCACAAGATGATGGTAAGGAGACTTAAAGCATTCCGTGAGGTCTGTGGAGGAAATTTGCGTTATTAATAGCAAAATCAAACCAAGTAATAATTTGTTAGATAATTTTTAATATATTATTAATGATTTTCCGGTATTTTGGGGAATTTTCTTACAACATAATTAAATAATTTTTAATAAAAGTCCCGTTTGATTTGGTTTTCACTAAAATAAGTTTGGTGTAATTAATATAACGTTAAAAATTCATATCGTTTTAAATGAACAATAAAATAGGAGTTGAGGTTGTTTTGGACTTTTCTTTACCAAACAGACAGGATTGAAACTTTGCTTACATCGCTGATCAGAATTTAATTGCACATTCTATTTTTAGCGTATATTAAAAAAATAAGGTTAAAAATATCAGTTAGCGTATGTTCCTCAATTTTTTTTCACCTAAATTCAGTTTTTCTAATAGTTATTCGGAGATCGTGAGGTGCGGTCTGGTATGACGTAGGTTTAGAAAAACATTTTCTTTATCGCGCCAACGTTTCGATCTTTATTGAGATCATCTTCAAGGCCTGGGATTTATAAACATTGTTTAAATTATACAATTACTTGTAGGAAGTGAAAAAATACAATAATACAAAAAAATACATTTATACAATGATAGAAACTCAAAGTGTTTCTTTTCTGTGTAGACACAGAACACTTTGAGTGAGTACAAATACTTTGGTTGATTCTAATATTTCTATCATTGTATAAATTCCTTTTTTCACATCCTACGTTATATAATTTAAACAATGTTTATAAATCCCAGGCACCGAAGATGATCTCAATAAAGATCGAAACGTTGGCACGATAAAGAAAACGTTTTTCTGAAACCTACATCCACCAGACCGCATCTCACTATCTCGGAATAATCATTAATTAACGGTTACTAAACACAACACTTTTCTAATAGTCTTTAAACACACACGTTTAAGCATATTCAGAAAATTTGCTTCTTTATCCCTCTGCAACGTCCAGAAAATCCATTATTGGGGGCGTCGGTGGCCGCAACGGTTTAGGCGTTGACACGGCGCTCATCACTGTAAGGTAAAGGCCCGGGGTTCGAATCCAGCGGCCCAGCATTCGAACCCGACATACTTACAAATGAGCTTTTTTCAAAATCACCGGCACCCCGAGGGTTGATATAGTAATATATATATATAAATAAATTAGATATATATATAAATATATATATAATTATATATAAGTAAATATCCATGAGTTAATAACCAATTGTTACCAAGAAGGCAATTTGAGAATAAAAACTGTAAAACAACTAAATGTACATCTATAAAAGTCAAAATGTTATTGAATATTACCACTTAATAAACAGACTAGCTGTATACATCATTTATTCATTATTAAACATGCACCTCATTTTGCATCAATTGCATAATATGATTGCATAAATTTGGGTAATACGATAAAATTAGGTATGTTGATTTGTAGGGGACAGCGGTGGCCTTGTGGTTACGTCGTCCGATTCGTACTTGCCACCGTAGCGGTTCTGCTAATCCCTGTACAACCCTTGAAATTTTATTTGAATTTAATTTGAACCATTGAGTGCTAAAACTGAAAATGGCTCACTGGCTATACACGGCAGTAAAAAAAACCAAAATAACCTATGGATCACTAATCTGGAGGATAAAGCTCAACAAAAACTATCTAGACAAACACTAGGCAGCGTACAAAGATTAGCAAACCTATGTGAGAACAACTCCTACACTAGAACTTCTGATAAAACTACCAACAATGGAAACATTTATGCAAGGAGAGGCTAGGAAAAACTCATTTAGACTCCAAAAACAATCAAATTGGATGAGAACTAAACAATTCGACCATAAGGCCATAATTATTAAAATCAGACATCCCGGAAACATTCCTTACAACAGCTCACGAAGACTCAACAGTCTATAAAGGAGAAGAAGAATTCACGAGAACATCAGATTCAATGGTATGCAGATGGCTCGAAAATAAACAAAGAAACCGGATCGGGATTTTTTTTGTACAAGCTGAAAATATGAGCAATCAATTGATTAGGGAAGTACACTTCGATCTTTCTTTTTTTTTGGTAATAACATTTATATAATTTTTTTTCCTTCTAACTTGGTAAATTGGAAAATTGCTTCAAAGTGAAATTTATCTGACCGGTTAGTCGATAAACAAGAAATATACCACAAATGAAATTATTATTAGAAAAGATCAAATAGTTTTTTTTCCAAAT